AACCTCTGAATCTTAAAACTTCCAAACTTTAAATGTTTAGAGTAAAGTATAAATGTTTTAATTACTAAATGTTTAGACTTCAATATAAAAGTAAAACCTCTGAATGGTTAAATTTTATTATAAAAGTTTAATCTTTGATATAAATTTTTAACTTCGAAATGTTTAAACTTTTTTTATAAAAGTTCTAACTTCTAAATCTTTAGTCTTTAATATAAAAGTTCCAACCTCTTAACGCTTAAACTTTATTAAAGTTCTAACTTCGAAATCTTTAGTCTGTAATGGAAAAGTTCGAACTTCGAAATCTTTAGTCTTTAAGATAAAAGTTCAAACTTCAAATCAGAATTCAGAAGTTGCAAAATAGATCATGATATGTATCTAGCTAAATATCCTGTTAATTAGGAGGTTTGCTAGTTAGCAAGTCATTAAAAAAACAAATCATCTAGCCTGCTTATCAACATTCAATTATTTCAAAGTTCGGCAACACCCGCCCTAATCCCGCCCTTCAGAATAGTGTAATTTTACTGTAGTAAGCAGTATAAACAATACATAATATATATCTATATAAAGGTTTACACCATTATCTTAAGGCAAAACACTTAATTTATCCTTGAAAAAATATTTAAAGAAGTTTAGGTCGTTTTTACGACATCATTTTATGTAAGTAACTTGTATTAGGGCCACTATAGTAACTAATTTATCATAACATTAACAGTTTACTGGCCTGTGTTTACTAATGTTAATTTTCATTTTAAACCGGGTTTGATACGAAATGTAAACAACACACCCTCTCCACCTCATACTACTTCAAGTACAACATGTACAAAATGTACATTGTACATAATGAACGACATGATCTTCATGTACCAGGACAGTTGATAAGATGAAATCAAAACTAATTCAGGAATTTATACGAATAGGAATTTTAATGATGACAGTCTCAATTACAGTTAGATTTTTAAGACTGTGGAATAGGAAGACGACATTTCAGCAATCTTATAAGTATTTGATGTTGTAATAATGCCAAAAGGTTTACCAACAGGGTTAAAACTAACTTATTTTGTAAAATTGGTCTGTGTGCAACTATTCAAAATCTATATCGAGAGTATAACTGTCATATTCCGATACCACAATTTTCTGGGTCTCACTTTTTGTGTCGTAACGTATGGTTTTATATAAGTACAACAATAAAACTAAATATAAAATTTTTTGAAGTGCAATAATTACTTTAAAGAAGGTGAAAAAAATTAATTAAAAATATTTGCACTTAGACGGGCTTGGGGTTAGGTTACATTAAGTGAAAAGAATATAAAGTTTTTTTAATGATAAAAGTGAAGATTTTTTATTAACATTTTACAAATGTAGTCGATCTCGACGCAATTAAATTGTGATTTGTTCTATAAAAGTGCCTTTTGTCCATGCGCATTTCTATTGTAGGAAAACATACAAGAATTATCAAAATGAAAAACAAATATAAACCTTTATTATTCGGCCATTGCTACCATTGCATGAAGAAACATTTAAAATTACACTTTCATACTCTTTAAGAAGAAATACAGTCGCTCTACTAAGACATATTTAAAAAGATGTCTATAATGACGGGGAACAAAGCTTTGCTACTCAGGCATAGATTGGAAAATATTTTTCAGGCATATTTTCAGTTTAGAATACTGCCTTTCTTCTTTCCAATGATATATTTTTTGTTTTAAACGTGGAAAATTTGATTCAGTTTTATTCTTTTTTTCCATAAATAGTTCAATCTCACCTGGGGGTTTTTAGATTATTTAATGTATTACAATAATCAGATTAAGAATTAGAAGCAAAAATCTCTAGTTTTAATACTTTATGTTGACATAAAAGTTTTTAAAACTATCATTTAATAGTTTAATAACATCCTCAATTGTGATAAAATGATTAATATGTAACTAGGAGTGTGTTTGTGTGGGGGGCGGGGGCAGGGGAGGGTGTTAAGTTTGTTAAGATTCTAGAAAGCTAAAGAATAATATTTAGAATATTTAGAATGCAAATATCAAAGTCAAGCAACTACTTGAAACTTTGCCTAGAAAAGTTTTGGAAAACTTTCGAATTTTTAAGCGTGGAATTGGAAAGCATCGAGGGCCGGCATTCTTGGCGTTTTTCACAATTTTTCTCAATTTACCAAACAAGACTAATTAGTGTAAACAGTTCTCCCAACCCCCTAATCATTGTCTTTCATTTGAATATTTAATTTTTTTGAGACTTCTTAAAAGAAAAATAGTGTATTTGTAAAATAAAGGAGAAACCGCTATATCCATCCTCTCTTAACCTCAGGAAAAATCATTGAAGTGTCTAAAAGAATATTTTCATCATTGTTCCTTATTTAAAAAAAATCTTAACAAATAGAACAAGATTAAATTCCATAAGTAAAGTTTACAAATAATTTGCTTTGGTGGATTTTCTTGAATATATTTCTGTAATGTTTTTATCTTTTATTGTCTTTTATTTTTCCTGGTCCTAAATAACTTGTATTATTTATGTTAAAAGTAAGAAATACCGACTATCTGTTTGTGCACAGCAGGGAATTGATATTAGACCCCAGCTATTCAGATATCTGTCTCACTGTTCGTCTAACAGTTTGTCTGTCTAATGTCTATCTATATCTGACTTCGTTGACTCGACAAATCCTGCTTCTTCAATGCGTGGTCAAAATAGTGACGACGACCATTCTGAGCTCGATGGGTCAGCACACAATTCCAGCCAGGACAGGGAGGAGAAGAAAAGGGGAGGAGAGGGGGCTGATTATAGACACAGTCATCCAGCATTCTTTCAACTCAGGCAGTTGTCATAGTCGAAATTTTAAATCTTTAATTCCAGTCGCCATTTTTTTTGTAACTCAACGCCATCTTGTTTTGAAGCTGCCACCATTTATTCGAAGTTGGCGCTATTTTGTTTTGAATCGTGCATCATCTCATTTTGAAATCAGCAGCATTTTTTTTGAATTTGATATCATTTTAATTTAAAATTTGTGTAATTCTGTTTTGAATACGGCGCCATTTTGTTTTAATTTGGCGCTTTTTTATTCCATGACCTTAACCTGTTTATCACCACATGTCACGTGACCACAGAGTGTGTAGCAGCCCATCGGAAATACTTCCTCTCACCATTCAAAGATATGATCACAGCCCATACAGATCAAAGGAACCAACCAAACCATTAACTAGAACTTTTTCTTCTTTATATTCCAAGACACAATACATAATATATATCTATATCATATAATATACACTTGATGTAAATATAATGCAAATACCCGTGCACAAAGTGTACTTAACTTCACGTTAATGTAGCTTCCTGCTTTCCAATAACCTTCAGAAAACTGGGAGAGTTCCTGTTAAAGTTTGGCTCATAAACTATGCATATCCAGACTATTAAACGGCTTTAGCATCCTCTTCTAATAGTTCGGAGGAACACATTTAGTTTGATGGTACACGATACATACTGAATTTCTAAGTGTACAGTGTGCATTTGACATATATTAGTTAGAAGTTAGGTTCTAATTATTCATAAAGCACCGGGCTGAGGGGGAGAAGGTTTTAAAAGAAAATTTAATTTTTTAAAGATGAATTGAAAAAAAAACTGGGAAATGTTTTTTTCCATTCGTACAAAAGTCATTATTACAGAGTGAAGAGTGTATTGAAAAGATTCCATGTATCTATACTTGTAATGTGGATTGATCATTCATTTCCTGGCTTTTAGCTGTTTTAGATCATCCATATGTAAAGTGGACCGAATACTAATAGGGAGACTTTATCCTTTTGTCCCAGAGAGTCCATCCCGGATTATACTGCCTGAGCCCAGAGCAGGCAACTTTAGAGAGTATCGTCAAACAAAACCACCGAGTTTTCGGGGGGTATATTTGTAGATTCAAACTTAAGAAAAATCGAACTTAATATTAACCATGATAAAAAATATTTCTTCGCCATAATATTGTCTATTTGTATACAAAATTATATTTTATGAAACCTGGATACCAAAACTGGGCTCATAACGATGTCTTAAGTTTCAAGCTCAAGGGGAAGGGGGGGACAGAAGTAATATTATTTTAGTAGATATGGGGGGTTGGTTTTGTTTATTTATCTAAAATAGACACAATTTAATCCTTATTTTGCTTGAGAAAAGTGTTCTGTTGGTGTGGGGTGGGTGGGACTATAACTTATATGTATCTACAGAGGGAGGTTTAACAGTTTTCTAACTTTCCTTAAGTCCTTACTCCTTAAAGCTCTCATCAAATATATCTAGATGAACTCTGTAAAAACGATTTTTCATGATTTAATATTTTATTTGAACTTTAATTTCTGTTAATTATTGCATTTAAAAGATTTAAACCAATCAAAGTCATTAGTCAGACAGATTTCCGAAAACATATATCTAAAAAATCATGAAATCAGGAAACTTACTTTGTACAATAGATGAGACTCCTGAGACGACTGTAGAACTTTATATCCTGTGTCTCTCCTTATAACTATAATTCCCTGCAACGATAAACTTGTTTTTTTTTGTCAAATTTAGAATTAAACCAATAAAGACTAAATTCAATGCAGAATATTTAAGACAACTTGCAATCATCATATTTTAAGAGTTTCAGGTTGACAATATAGTCTCATCTTTCTGGGTAGCCCTGTTACAAATAAGCGCATTAGCAGACAGAGATCATTATTTTAAAAAATGATACATTTTGAAAGATTAAAATAATTAATATGATAAATCAGAGTAAAACACCAAAACTTTTAAGCAAACAAGAAAGATCTTAAATTAAGATTTTTTATTTAAATCTTCTTCGTCTAAGTTCCAATCTCTTGGTAGATACTATGAATAAATTAGGAATACACGAATAATTGTAAAACGTAAAAAACTAAAATGTAAAAGCTTGAACACTAATGTGTCGTTTTTAAAGTTGATTATGTCAAAAAATATTTTGACAATAAACTAGATGCTATAAATAAGAAACTCATAGTGTAATTTTACTGTAGTAAGCAGTATAAACTCCCATAGTATTCCAAATATAAGATTAAGAATGTTACTGTAGTAAGCAGTATAAACTCCCATATTATTCCAAATATAAGATTAAGAATGTTACTATAGTAAGCAGCAGGATCTAGACAGGCAGATATTACGATTGAAAAACCATCCCTCAGAAAACTTTAACTTTATGGTTGTGTCTGGTTCCCCTCGCCTCGGAAAGTTTAACGGTAATTAAACGCCATTTTCACATAATTGCATGTTTCACAATTACAGGAACTGATTACCCTCACTCAAATTTAATTTTGCAATCATTTTATTTTAACAAATATAAACAAAATATAACAAAATATTGAAATATAAACGGTTTGTTGTACCATCAGGTTGTAAAGATTTAAGAGTACACAAGTTAGAGTTTGAGGAGGGTAATCTTCTTCTTTGCACGATTCTTTTCTATAATTTCTTATTTTTCTAATCAAAACTGTTATGCACCATTTTTTAATAGTTTTTGCACCTTTATGTTCAAAATTTCGAGCAGAATGTTCCTAATTGCGAAATGCGCTCGTTTGTTCGATGTTACGAATTCACAATGTTAGAGTTCCTTCAAAAAGTGTAAAGTGATTTTTCAGTAAACTTTTTAATCAATTCATTAACTTTTACTTGTATGATTTTGCGATCTCGTATCTTCTAAAGTTTTTATTTTATTTTACTCCTTAAAGGGTGAAAAAATCAAACTTGTTTTGCGATATGCATAAACAGATTTCAAGACTTTTCTCTTTTGTATACAGTCGCCAGGAAAAGGATTGAGATTACAAGATTTAAAACTAAAAAGAAATGAGTCTCGATAAAAGCGTAATTACTTAAGTAAACTTCATGGTCACTCCTGTATGCAGAGTCCATAGCGCCTGATCCAATCAGGATTCAGCCATGTGTTTGGTGTCTATTATGAACCAATAGAAATTGTATGGCGGTAACATGTATTTTTCTATCTAGTTCATTATCCAATTAGAGATAAATCCTTATATTGGCGCTTTAACAGTAAATGGAAATATTTACTTCTACTCAAACTATGGTGTGGCAGAGATGGCAGCGCCCAACTCACTGCGATATCTTTGAAACTTTTATCTGATCAGCAATATGGAAAATCTCTTTTAGTTTTTATAGTTTTTCCATGAGGTTAGAAGTGTTTAATCCTGATAATTTCAATAGTTTTACTGCAGCAGAAATGCGATTCTCACTTTTTAGAGAAACCATAATTGAAATTAATCAGATTTCAAAATTAAAAACATTAATATCTAATTCATACTTGATTGATCAGACAAAGCTTTGAAGGGTGCCGTTGTGAACTGGACATGGCCATCTTTGTATGAAAGGCCTCTTGAAATGACGCTTACAGTCCCTTTAAATGTGGTTTATACTATAATATCAATCCTAACATTCTCAAGTATACTTGAATATTTAAGATAAGGATCTTGAAAAAGTGTTTAAGTAATAATTTTATTTAAAACACGAATTCGAGAAATACCAAGTATTTAGACCTGAAACAAGCATATATTTACAGTTAAAGTTTCTTGTGAGACAGCAAAGATGAAAAATGTTATTATATTTCTACAATCCACTCTCGGAGAATATTGTAATTTTTGCTGCAACATTAGGAATTAATAGATATGTTACAATGTCTAGGCTCTTGTCAGAGACTCTATAGGCTGCGCACGCTCGAGCAGTATTTTGCCTATTACTCCTTTTAAACTTAAGCTAGAAAAAATCGCGTTGCAATTTAGACATTTCTATGTCTAGGTCTACACAAATGTATAATAAGGTTGGTGAGGTAAGACCAAAGGGTAATGTGTTGCGAAACCTTAAAGTCGGACTGTATTAAAATGTGATGAATATCTTGTAGAGTTGTCTAGATTTCAATGTAGGATAAAGAACCTGAATACTACCCTCAAACTTTATCTTGTAGAGTTGTCGAGATTTCTATGTAGGATAAAGAACCTGAACACTACACTCAAACTTTATCTTGTAGAGTTGTCTAGATTTCAATGTAGGATAAAGAACCTGAACACTCCCCTCAAACTTTATCTTTCTAAACCATTCGTCTTTGCGACCTGATTCTGTAAACCTTTAAAATTACAAACTAAAGATTTAGTCGCAGGATTTCTAGTTTGAAATATCAAATCAAATAAACTCCAAAATCATGATCAAAAAAGAGTTCGATGAGAGTTATCATTTTCCTAATTAATAATTTGATCTTAGATCAAGTAATCTGAGTTTGAAATATCTAAAATTTACAAAATCATGTTGCAAAGATATCTGTATTACAAAATATGAGTTTATGGTAAAAACGAAGTTCCTTTTTTTATTTTCATTTTTATTTCATACGTAGGAGAAGTTATTTATTAACATCCTTTCGCTTGAACTTAATCATGATTATGAATTAAATAATATTAGCTTAAGGGTCGGGCGTTGCCCGTGGAAATTTTTCTCTCGATTTTTTAGCCTATAACACCCCCCGGACACCCATGAGTGTCCACAAAAAATTTCAGCCCATTCGGTCCAACCGTTTGGCTGGCTTTAGGCAACATATATATATATATGCTAATGTCTTAGTTTCCTTGTTTTATTATAAATATATATCTTAAACGAGTAATAATTATTTACAATACTCGTGTGGGTTGTTAGGCCAGCTTTCTGCTGTAATCGATGCTAGTGTAAAAGAATGTAAATTTGACCTAATTATAAAATTTGACAGTTTAAAAAGTTTTGTTTCAATTTAACCTTTAGACTCATGCAGAGTTATTTAACAAAAGAACTGGACTTAAGTACAGACTTTATTTTGATAAAAATTTTGTTTTTAAAAGTAATTCATTTGTTTTATCTTAGAAAATCATACATTTGTTCTTTTCTAAATTGACCATATCCATAAAATAAAAAATGTGACTTTCTGACATTTTGAATTTAAAACATTATAGTATTTTTCAATATAACGTTTACAGCTGCAGGCCGGCCAAACGGGTAGACCAAATTGGCTGACATTTTTTAAGGGAACTCTTCAGCTATAGTATATAATATTATTCTTACAAAATTGCTTCTAGCTGTCATTCCACGCGACGAAAAAAAAAATTTCAAAGTTTAGAAAATTACAGTTTGTGGCGAGGCTTCAGTTCCGTTGTTGACAATTTTTTGTAGTGTATTTAATGTTAAATGTAAAATCAACTATTTTAGACAAGATAAAGACCTCAGGCAATGCATGCTTAAGTAAAGTAGATGGATACTTGAGATTTATAAATGCAGAACATTGTTTGAAGGGAAATTAAAAAAGGCAAAGACGATCTAGAAAATTTAGATATTTGAGGGAATGTTTAATAATTTTGGCATTTGGTATCTTTTTCGGACAAGAGAGGTGCGCTTGATAAAACTTAAATTTTAATTTTATTAAGATACAGAGCCATTTTTGCAGATTATACAAGATAAATAGAAAATATACTAAATATATTCATAAATTATAATCTAATGCAAATGGTCTGCTATTTATCAACTAGAGTTTATACTTATCTTTGGATTTACGAGGCAAGTTTATTACATAATTATGAATTTGTATAACATGATAAAAAATTAAAAGGGAATTTTATTTGCCGTGGCGGTTCGAGGCCAAATGTTTTCTTTGCCGCTATTAAAGAGAGTGTTCGCAAAAAATGAAAGGGAGTATAGGCTTACGTCAAAAATATTCGATGGTAATTCCTACCAATCTTACTTCTATCTTTTGCGTCTATAAGAAGAAAATGGTTAAGAACGACTCATACCGAAGAACTTAGGTGTCCAAAGAAATTATTCTGATACTACAACCTATAATCATCGATCTTTTTTCGATGCAATCGTATAAAGTTGATGTTTCATAATATTTTTATCGGTTTTATATATATGATGCAATTTAAGCTACGATTAATTTGTCGCCAGGTGTCTCCGCTCTCGATGTTTCTACATGGTTCCATCTGGGAGAGACACCTAGCGGACAAAGAAATCGCCGTTTTAAGTGAATTTTATAAAACAAAGAAAATATGTTATGAAATATCAACTTTATATGAATGCGTTGAAAAAAATCGATGATTATAGGTTGCAATATCTGAATGATTTTTTAACGATCCGAGTCGAATATTTCAAGTTTCTGAATTTGTACGGACGCTACGTTCTACGGTATGAGTCTTTTTTAACAATTTTCTCTTTTTAGACGCAATAGATAGAAGTAAGATTAGTAGCAATCACCATAGAATATTTTTTGACTTAAGCCTATACTCCCTTTCATTTTTCGAGAACAGTCCCTTTAAAACTGGGGGTATGAATCTATGAAATGACTGGTGGGGATGAGGGGGGGGGGTCAACTTAGCAGTTTTAAACCAGGCTTTTTCCATGGTTTTACTGAGTTCTCCAATCAAAATTTGTGGCAAATCGGTCATGGGGTTCATAAGTTTTGATCCAAACAAACACAAAAGTTTTAGAGAGATTACTACTCTATATTTAGATATTATGTTATTTAAATAACATGTTTTTAATCTGATATATCTATGAGAGTGTACCTTGACACGTAGAGAAAATATATAATGATTAAAACTTTGTTGAGAAAAATAACTTGGATGATCTTTCATATTTTCCATATTTGTTCTGACAAACTTTATACACTAATAAAACAACATGTATTTCTTTAGACACTAAAATAATTCTAAATTTTGTAAAATTATAAAAAGTGACAATGAAAATCTCATTTCTAAATGATTAATTCGTCAATTGAAGTTACGTCTATAACAGTACCTTTAATCATCATGATTGTTCCCGTTAATATCAATCCCAGGCTGCTATGAATTGTTGCATCAATTTGCAAGGCTAGTTTGACTTTAAAGTGTCGTAACGCTTTAGTGTAGAAGTAGTTGGAAAAATTCTCATTGATTTTTGGATCACTGGTGGTTCAAAGTGCATGCTAATTCATCTCTTTGTATCAAAACAAAACAAAAAACAGAAAATATGATTGTTTTTAGAAAACAGAAAACTGGATTTATTAAAATTTTACTCTTAGTGTAGAAAGTGGTTGTACAAAATCTTATCTATTTTCATGCAAATCTGACTCAAATATGATAATTCAAGGACTATCCAAGTCCTCAGAGTTATACCGGGTAGGGGGTAGCTGGAAAGGGGTGGAGGGGGGATAAAGATATATGGTCGGTTTCTAGAGGACCCCTGATCAAGCTTTATTAAATTTAAGAATTAAAGACTGGAAAAAGCTAAACATTTGATTCTATATTTTAATTAAAAAATCCTTTTGTTTCATGTTTACATTGCATGGCGGAGGGTAAGGGAATGGGAGTATACTGTTAAGCAAGGAAGAATATGAAAAAAATATCAAAACTTTTTCTTCAGTAATTTTTTTTCTGCAAAATAAAACAACATGTAAATCGTGCTTGTAATTTTTTTTTCAACTTTTTTGATATTTTGTCTGTGGTTTTAATGTCCTTGTTACAACTGTGTATGTAATTAAATTTAAATCTAATCTTGCAAAAGGAAAAACAAATTTTCTACATAAAATCCAATCAGAAAGGAAGATAGTTCCATAGTAGCCGGAATTTCTTTAGTCTGTGTTACCATAACGCCATGATTAACTGGTTGCAGACTCATATATTTTCTACATTTTCTAATCATTTCCGAAATATTAATTTCATGCAAACCCCATTCATCAACAAAGGGTTGTCGATATTCGGTTGAAAAATGTCGAAATGTTGTATTGTATTATTGTTTTATGTTTGGATTGGTAGATTAGTGAAACTATCTGTTTTATGTTGCCGTCAGAAGACCCTCCTCTCAACCCCGGTTATTTATTTTTTTTTCTTTTAAAGGGACTGTAAACGTAATTTCAAGTGACCCTTCATTTGTAGAATGGAATGTCTGATTCGTAAAAGTTCCCTTTAAAGAGTTTAAAAAGGACACCGTGGCGAATCCGACACGCCAGCTTTTTTATTTTAAATGCAACACTTGATATAAAGTCCCTTTGAGTCTGAACAATGTTTGTCTGGTATTTTTATTAAAGTAGGATTTCAGGGCGCTTCGCTTTTTAGCTTTAAACTCTGAAAGTCGCCATTTTTCTTCCTTCTAAAATTTTTGTGGATTTTTTGTTTGAAGTGGTGCATTTTAAAAATTAATAAATTTCGAAATTCTTTCCTCACAAATTTTGCCAACTTCGATCAGCCATCCTTCCCTGGGTTTATGAAAGTTGCCTTAAAAATCTTGAGCTCGACTCGGTTAAGTAGTTTTTACGTTTATTGGAAACAAGCAAACAGAGACAGACAGACAAGCAAACCTTATATTTACATAAAAGCTGCCTTCTCAAAAATACTTTATGTATGACGCTTTTATTAACTGTGTCACATTTGTTTGCGTTCTACTTCAATACGCACATTTATTTAGGTTATTTATTCTTAATTCTACATGTCCAAATCAGATCTACAACAATTCAATAAAAACTATGACAACTTAAAACAATATCATTTAACGCGGATAAGAAATATAAAATGTTAATGCTTGATCGGAAATGGGATAAGAGTTACATTGAATAATATTCACCATTGATTTATAGCTATATAGAAATAGTATTATCTTAAGAACAATTGTTTTTATATTCTACAACATATTGGATACATGTCAATTATAAAATATATCTGTCGTCCCGTAACATTTGTGACTTTTAAGTGCATTTTTGTCAAGCGCTTTAAATCAAATAAAAAGTGAAAAATGAAAAAAAAACTTTGTTCGACTGCATGCATTGAACTAATGGGAAAACCACATAGTGTATAAATATTGGATAAATGTGAGATGTTATGCATACAAACATACAAACATTTTTACATATTTTGACGTTGTGTGACGTCTTGTAAAGAAAGTATTTTGAAAATACATTCTTATGTTTCTTATTTGTTTATCTTTTTGCTGAGACAAATTCTCATTAACAGTTTTAACTGTCAGGTTTTGCGAGCCCTTTAAAAATTTCTCATTTTAAAATGTCTATTTTAAAAATGAGGTTATCCCTCCTTCCCCATAACCCCTACCCCTTTACCCCTTTCCCCCACCACCTTGGGAAAAAACTCATTTGGTCCAAATAATTTAATTTTAATGCTTCGAATACGAAATAAGATTCAAATACAAGTTCCGAATAAAAGTTGCTGAACACAGTTTACTACAGTATTTAACATAATTTTTAATCATTTTAATTAAAACTTAAACGAACGTTGTTGTTGTTGGGTAGATAATTATGTAATCAAAATTAAATTGCTAAGTTTCGTGACATTTTTCCAGTATATATTTAATTAGGAGGTTTCCTAAGTATCAAATGCTTTGTTTAAGTCTAAAGACAGGAGTCTTCTAGAATATAATTATGTCCGCTGTACAATTTGTAAGCTTTACATCAAGACTGTACTGCTGTTAGTGAGTAATTATTACGGCATCATTCTTAAAAATATACATAGTTAGACAATGGGATTTTCTGAACAAAAATTTTTCTGCCCAATACAAGATTTCCTCTTATGTTTAATATTTCTCTATGTTTTGCATTACTATTTATTCACAGTGCATGCTTTTCATGTAAATCACAGTGCATTAATTTCATATAAATCACAGTGCATTACTTTTATATAAATCACAGCGCATTACTTTTATATAAATCACAGTGCATTAATTTTATATAAATCACAGTGCATTAATTTTATATAAATCACAGTGCATTAATTTAATATAAATCACAGTGAATTATTTTGATATAAATCTGAATTGCATTACTTTTATATAAATCACAGTGCATTATTTTTATATAAATCACTTTTATGTAAGTAACAGTTCATTAATTAGATGTAAATCATAGTGCAATGTTTTATATAAATCACAGTGCATTACTTTTATATAAATCACAGTACACAACCTTTAAATAAATCGCAGTTTATTACTTTTTTTTAAATAACAGTGCATTATTTTTATATAAATCACAGTGAATTATTTTTAAATAAAACACAGTGCATGCCTTTTATGTATATCACAGTGCATTATTTTTATATAAATCACAATACACAACTTGTATGTAATCACAGTGCTTTATTTTTATATAAATCACAGTACACAACTTGTATGTAATCATAGTGCATTATTTTTATATAATTCACAATACACAACTTGTATGTAATCACAGTGCATATGACAAGTTATATAAACCTTCACGACTGGGTCGACTTTCCTATGTGAAAATGCCTTGACCTTTTATTTTACCTCACGACCTGGGTTTACATGTTTATTTTAGAACTTTAAAGCACTTGAGCTTTAGTTTTTTACGAAGTTTTTGGAAAAATTCTTATTAATGTTGCAACATTTCTGTATAAGTGTGATCTCTTTATCTCTGCATTAATGTATCCAACATTAACCTTCTGTTATTACTCTGTAATAAACAGGTCGATGGAAAATATCAAATAAAAATAGTATTTTAAACATAAATATAATTTCTGACTTTTATCTTGCATGATTCATAGGACAGGTTAGTTCAAACTGGAAATATATAATATTAACGTTTTCTTATTTCAAAATTATTATCTTTTTCTCTCAACTTAAAGTATTTTTTTATGTACATAGTACAACAGTGCAGCAATAGTACAATAATACAATAGTAAACTAGAACAGTAGCTCACTAGTACACTAGTACACTTGTACAATATTACAGTAGTATGAAATAGTACAATAGTACAAGTGTAAAAAAGAGCAATAGAACAATATGTACAATAGTACAAAAGTACGATATTACAATAGTTAATAAGAATCAATATTCAACTCCCCTTAAAGGAATTTGTAGACTACAACCCGGTAAATACCCCCCCCCCCCAAGCCCTTCCCCATCCCCTCCCCCACTCTAACCTGGAAATAATAAAACAATAGAATTAACGCACTAAGGGTAAAGCTTGTAACCCACAATCCAATAAATAAACATCATAATAATAACCATTAAAAATTTCATTAATATATCCAAGGGAAGGTTTGTTTACAGGAAATATCGAAATGTTTTTAAAAGATACATATTTTGTTATTTTTATGTTAGCATTTAAATAGTTTTCAGATGCACAAGTTATGTGAATGGCATAAAAAAATTTGATTGTATTGCAATGAATATTTATTTAACATTGCAAAAGAATTGAGTCTTTGCCACAAACTCTGACTTTCCTATCTCTATACTTTGCATGATTAAAGCACCATCAGGTTGCAATTATTTAGGGTTTAGAAAATTTGAGTCTAAGGCAAAGACTCAATTCCTTTTTGCATGAAATACCCCAATGTTAATTGATATTTGCTGAATTTTTTTGAATAAAATATTTGTTATTTCACTGATTTTTTGTTTCAGGTTCTGTTCGGGTTCCAGGGCGTGATGCAGGGGGGAACCCTGAATCCTGGGAGGGTGGTGGGCCCCCTGGGGGGTGGGAGGAGCCCCCTGGGGGCTGGGAGATTGCCCCCACCTCCTCCCAAGAAGTCGGGCAGACTAAACCGGAAGCCCGAAAATCCACCAGGAAAAAAACAATAATTAAAAAAGTTAAAAAGGATTATTTGTTAAACTTGGTAATTTGACGCGATTCCTCTGCTATTGATAAAAGACTTTAAAGTTTTTCGATAAATAGTTTAAAGTACTTTACAGTCTAACACTCCCCACACAGATAATAGTCTTTCTATAAAAAGTATTTTTAATTAAATCACGTAAATTGTACAATTTACAGGGCACCCTCTATAATTGCATGTACGATTATAAGACTAAAAAAGTCCAATATTTTCCACCGTTATACTACATACACACTTTACATTATTCGATACAATACAGATACGCTTGGTTCATATATTTCAGTTAACAAAATTTCGTTTCAAAGTACTTCACTAAAGTATCCTTCCCATTTAAAGGGACTGTTCTTGCAATGTTAAGGTAACCGCTATTTAAGGAGTGGCATCAAGAGCGTGGAAGTATATAACTTCGTTTTCAAAGTTTGAAAAGTGTTTAATTCTGATAATTTATATCATTGTTTCTCAGGCAAAAAATAAAATGCGCAAGTTTGTTTTGTAGAGAAACCTGGAATGAAAAATAAGCAGTTTTTAGAAGCGTGAACATGAATATCTCATTCATGTGCAGACAAAGCGTTTTAAGGCCGGTACCGTTGCTAATTTTACAACATTTTTAAACTCTTCACACACAATTTTATTGTTGTTTGATTTGTTTTTATGTTTTTATTTACCCGTTAGTATTTTAAATATATTCAATGCATTTGATGTGTCAAGTTTTTCCTATAATTTTACCAAATTGAACTCTTTTTTGGACCTATAGATTTTTATACGAAACTAAATTTAAATATTTCAATTTTGGGGGCCTTAACTTCAAGTTTAAGGATTGTTTATGGTTTTTAAAGTGTCATGAACTCATAAAACAGGTTTTTTTCAACCACACGCTCTCACCGGGGGGGGGGGGGGGGGGGGGGCTGTGAGAGCGTTCACATATTGGTTTACTGTTAATGTATATATTTTAATTTTTTTTCGGAGAGATGGTTTTTTTTGCAAGTAAAAAGAATAAAGATGATATTTTTACTGAATTTGTCGAGTTCCTCATCTCAAGGTTTATGTAAAAAAGGATAAATGTACTTGAGGAAACATGCTGCCTCCAGAAAGAATTTTAATCCAGGGATTTTGTTTTTTACTAGAATATTTTAAATTCGAATTTTTGAGACCTGTTACAATGGCTCCATCATGAGAGGACAACTATTTTGCAAAGGAATTCTTGGAGCACTTTTTCAACATTCCTGCAGTTTTCTCAGGGGGTGTCCAATAATTACACGCTTAAAATGCAAATGCAAATACATAACTAAAGGGTCGAACCATTATACAAAATATAAATATAAATATAATGGCTGTCCCATGCTATCATTCTGTGAAATAATGTAATTCCCTTCTTTACTACGAATACACATTATACATTTATAAATACATTATGTTTGAAATTTGTGTGCTAATTTAAAAAAAAAAATTTAGGGCCTACAAATATGATAGTAATATTCTGTAGTTTTGAAATTATTGTTATTTAAAGACGACCTGTAAAACCACCCCCGGACCGGGCGAAGCGCTCCATCTTTATTTTTTCCCTAAAAAATCCACTTCGTCAATTTTTCATCCAGGTAGGATAATTTATTCAACAGCATTGATCATTTATTAAGCAGCATTGATAATTTATTCAGCAGCATTTATTATGTATACTGCAGCAATGATCCTTTTTTTCAGCAGCATTGAAAAGAGATTCAGCAGCAATCATACTTTAGACAGCAGAATTAAGCCTATATTATTCAGCAGCTTTGATCCTTTATTCAACAGCATTGGCCCTTTATTCAGCAGCTTTGATCAAATATTTAGTAGCATTAAGAAATTCTTTCCTCACAAATNGCTTCCAGTGCAGGGCATGTCCAGTTCACAACGGCACCTTTTAACCTTTATCTGATTAATATCGTGGAAGACATTGTCGTTTTTCTAATGGTAATTAATTCTAACCGTTTCCTTAATAGTTTATGAAGCAGAAATATACAAATCAAAGAGAAACCACAATTAAAAGTAATCAATTTTCAATTGCGTTGTAACTGGAAAAACACTTGAAATTACGTCCACACTCCCTTTAATGTCGGTTGACCGAATGCTGCAGACACATTTCGGAAATTCCGAGGAGGAGGAGGGGGGGTCTACGTCTTGATACATTGTGTCTTCAGAACTATACATTTTTAGATAACCGAGGCCAAATGGTTTGAGATATTCATACTGTTAGCTATATTAGGTAAGCTACAGTTTAACCCTCAACTTCGGAAACATCAAACAAAATTTTAAAATGTCGTCTTGATAATTTATAGAATGTCGTCTTGATAATTTTTCAGTGAGGTTTATACTAGTATACCTAAATCTCAGTAATTGTAAAACTAAATAAATAGTTAAAATGAAATATGCGGGAACTGTTATAAAGAGCTCCATAAAATTATTCATTTAAAAAAGTAAGTATTTGCAGCATTCAATTATCAGTAGGTTTAGAAACGATATTTCGGTGCCTCCGCAGTCTGTGTTAAACAGTATATGTAAAGTAAGCTGTTAATAATATTGAATAACATGTATAACAGTTAGCATGTTAGAAAATATTTTGTAATAACTTCACATTTTCTTCTTTATAACTATTCATGACTAATGGATTACAGGGCCTAGTAGTGGAAACTGGACATATATAAACTGATAAATGTATTCAATCCAAGGCTAATTGTATTTTTAATGGTTTAGGGCAAAATTAATTGTGAAAGTTTAGTAGTTTTAACATTAAAACATAAATACTAAAAGCTGTATTGGTCTGACTTTTTTAATCTTTTAAAATTATCGGAGAATACCATAAATTAAATTTTTAAATTCCCAGATAGAAAAATTAATTCAAACGTCTTTTGTGGATTTCAGCAATAAAGTATTTATAAAAAGTTGGGGAAAGTTTCTTAACTTGGGCTTGTGAAAAACTTTTCAAAAGAATAAAATTTAGAAAAAGTTAAAACAATTTATCCACTTTTAAAAATTTTTTATGATTTAAGAGTTAAACCATTTACTTTGTGTAAAAATAGTACTTAAAGTAATGAGAAAATAAAACAAAAAAAACCAGCTAAAATTTTCTTTAAAGGTTACTGTAAATACAAACATTTCCTGTCATAGTTCATGCTTATTTCATGTCTAATTTCCTGCATATTTTCAGTTGACCGATTTCATGTCTTTTTCCTGCCTAGGTACCTGTATATCCCTAGCTGTGTATACTCCGCTACCGAATGGAGACACTAATGATATTAATGAATTTTTAGAAGAAATTGAGGTGAGTCATTTTCAATAGGGTCAAATCCATTATATTCTATTCTATTCAATTTTATTTTATTCTATTCTATTCTATTCTATTCTATTCTAGGTGATATTTACTGTAGTATTTACTACTGAATGTCTGATGAGAATAATTGCTCTTGGTTTTATAATGCATCCCTCCAGCTACCTCAGGAACACATGGAACATTCTGGACTTCACCATTGTTATGATAGGGTAGGTCATAGGGCAGGTCAAGGAGTACACCAGAATCTCCAATAGGGTAGGTCAAGGAGTACACCAGAACCTCCCATAGGGTAGGTCAAGGATTACACCAGAACCTCCATTAGCTTTGTTTACAAACAAAGTGTACTGTCATTTATCTTTGTTTTAGAAACTCCATTATCAACGACTGTTTCTTTTATTTTACCTAGAACGACGTTTTTTCCAAAATATGTTTAATGTAAATACAAAAATGCAGTCTTTCATGCAAGTCCTCCCCGAGGGGAGGAAGTCCAGCCACAACAATTTCTCGTCCGAGCCACATTATCCTCATTTTCTCGTTAGAGCCACCTCTGAATACTCGACATCCTTCGGTTTTAATGTGTTATGAAGCTTCCAATTATCGAAGATAAAACAATTTTTTTTTAATCAGGCCACGTTAGGGCATAAAATATTGATGGACTAAAGTTTTGCAATGATAACATCATGCTGGAATCTTCAAACTCATGAGAATGATGTCAAACTTTATTTAGGTAGAACTTAAATCTCTTCTGCCTCCGTAATGGCTAACCTTCGCGATATAAAATAAGTAGCAACATATTTGGCATACCTCTGCCTATCATTTTCCCCAAGGAACTAACCGTAAAAATTCTATGGTTTTCACTATAATTAACAAAAAAGATTCTATAAACTCGGAATTTTTTTGCGTCATTCCACTCCATAATATCTGAAAGTAAAAAAAAATATGAAACATGAATCAATATGAAATATGAATCAATCTTATCATATTATTTAAAATTGGATTTTATTTTTTTTAAATCCAATTAAACGGTAAAAATATCTAATTTCAGCAAAATTTTAAGAAAGAATTATTAGACATTATTTTCCAGATTTGATGAAAATATTCCAAGATTAACAAATAGTTGAGCTGAAGGGGAAAATGTATTTAATTTCCTCATCTTAATCTAGATTTGTTTAATGACAACTCTCAGTAGAAATTCCTCTTCAAATTGTATCCAAGGCAGTTAAAAAATAAAAATGACGATAAAACTTTAAATGTAAAGTCATCGCAAACTTTTTAGAGACTTAAAATTTAAAAACTTCATATTAGTTTAGAATATTTTACTTTATTTCTGACAGAACATTTTTGTCAAAGATGATCTTTTTTCCTGTTTGAAAAGGGACAAAGAAACTGAGTTTTAGGCACAAACTTATTTCTTTTATTTCTATATCTGTGAAACCTGATGGTGTAAACCTTTGATATTTTAAACTTAGACTATTTGATCTGACAGAGTCATAATTAGAAATATCAACGGCATCATATTGCAAAGATATTGAGATCAGAGTTTAAGGCAGAACTTCCTTTTTGCCATTTTTTCGTTAGGAATCCACGTATTACTTTCTAGTCAAGCTACGGCCATTTACAATTACTTTTACAGTTTCTTTAACACGGAGTAATCAACATTTTTTTAGCTAGTTTACAGATTGAAGGATTTGATGTTAAAGCTCTTAGGGCTTTCAGGGTCCTTCGTCCACTAAGACTTATTTCTGGGGTCCCTAGTAAGTAATTTTTTTCAGGGTTCCTAGTAAGTAATTTTTCAGGGTCCCTAGTAAGTAATTTTTCAGGGTCCCTAGTAAATAATTTTTTTTCAGGGATCCATAGTAAGTAATTTTTCAGGGGTCACTAGTAAGAATTTTTTTTTCTGGAATCCCTAGTAGTATTTTTTAAGGGTCCCTATAATAAGTATTTTTCAGGAATTTCAAGTAGGTATAATTTAAGGGGTCCCTTATAGTAAGTATTTTCTCAGGAATTGAAAGAGCTTGCTCATTTCATTTACTATATATATTTTCTTTAATAAAAATTATGAACCATTCCAAGAGAAATATTTCCTTATTTAAGAACCGTAAAACCAATTTAATATTTGATCCGATTTGAACCAATACCAAGCCAAGATGTCTGGTGAAACCCAACCTATTAATCCTGATGTTATAAATCTGTGAAATGAAAAGAAAATCCTGGAAATCTGTTCTTTATTTCCAATTATTTTGGTGCAGAGAGATCAGCGGGGATGTATAAACTGTCTATGCAGATACATTTAATAGAAATAGATTCATATGTACACACACACACATATATACTAGGCTTTTAGGGAGCTTCGCGCCCATCATCTATTTAGATTTTTAACTGTGGCCCTATCTGTCAGCATCTTCTTTTTGTACAATATAAAACAAAAACAAAAAAAGTTTGCAGATTTTATAATATGCTTTTGTGGATTTTAAAAATAAAAAAAAAATAGAAAAATTAGGATGAGACCTTATAATGGGGACTTTGAAATCTGGAAATCAATTTTGGGGTTCAATTGCTGAAATATAATTTCTTAAGATTAACTAAATAAAGTGGCAAAGAATGGAAATTGAAAATTGAAATTGAAATCTAACATTTTTTCTGCATCATTCTTTTGATTTGATTCAGCTATTGTTTGTTAAAAGAACGTATTAAAAAGATTGTATTATATAATTTATAATATAACTAATTTCTATTTTTTTTGTTTAAATATACATTTGAGATTTTAAAATAATTTTTTCCAAGACAAAAGGCTTCTTAGGTTGGAAATTGGAATTAAAGTAATTGGAGCATATTTGAAGTGTAGTGGTATTATTTTAATTGATATTCGTGCCCTGAATAGGGTTAGTAACAGAATAGAATAAAAGAAAAGTTTTATAAAAAGTTCTTATTTTCAAATTTGAATTGTAGGATGAATACAAAGTATGAGTATGATAGTTGTCATGAATAACTGAATAAGAAATGTATTTTCTTGTCTTCAGGTTTACAAATTGTCATGAACGCAATCTTGATGGCGATCATTCCGTTGATGAACATTGCCTTGCTGGTTCTCTTCGTTATCATCATCTACTCCATCATCGGCTTAGAGCTGTTCATGGGAGCTTTCCATAAAACATGTTTTGATATTTACACAGGTACAAAGACACCCCCCCCCTTCCATCGTCTTTAATATTTGCAGCATTATTTTTTATTATCTCGAATGATGAAATAAACCCTGTTTCTGAAACTTAGGCATAATTTTAAGTGACCTTCCCTTACAAATCACAATTAACAATTCACAATGGTACCGATAAACTTTTCTCTGGTCAATAATGTGGAAGATATTATTGTCCAGCTTCAATCATTTAAAAAAAAGCTTTTAAGAGTACAGTGGTGAATCCGACGTCCCTCTTTATAAATGGAGTGTCTATTGAAAATACCTTAAATGGTACTTATTGCAAATGAAGAACTGTCAGATTAAAAAATTTAAATTTTCAAAATAAGATTTTGAAATCTTCTCGCCCCAATTCTTCTGTTACAATTTAGAAACCAAGCCAGCCTTGGCTGAAAGTTTTGCCTCTGAAAACATATTTTCGCAGGCTTAGAATGCTAATTCACGGCTCAATATTGCAGTGTTATAAACAATGCAAAATTCCAAACAGTTTGCAAGGATATCCCCCACCAGGCAAATTTGTAATCCCGCCCCGATTACAGAAATCCGCCAGCTGTGAAAATAATTCGACAGCTGTAAAAAGTCAAAAATCCGCCAGCTGCAAAAAATCCACAAGCTGTAAAACAATCCACCAACTGTAAACTTAAAATTTTCAGGAGAAATGATGGAAGATCCAACACCTTGCGGCGGTATTTACAACTGCCCCAATGGAACTGAATGTCGCGGCGAATGGGAGGTATAAAGATACATTTGTTTTAATAAAATAATCAGCTTAAAATTTCCGAACACAAAAGAACTAAGCACTTATATCTGTGCAATATACGATGGATCGTAGCTCTTTAAGATCTCAAACTTTAACAACTTGATCTATCAAATACACGGTTAAATAAATATCAAAGGTCTACGATTTCTAATGGCCAAAATATAAGGATAGTAAGATTTAAAGTAGCGAGTAATCTGTTTCTTTGACTTTTTATGTAAAGTGAAAGTTTTATTGTGTGTAATGATAAACTGTATAGTTGCCAGTTTCAATTTGTTTTCTCTAGCTTTCTAGAACATTTCTAGCAGAAACTTAAATGTTTACAAGCTGTTTAATTCTTGCAAATTCATGCCTTCTTCTCCCCTCCCCAACCTGAAAAACCTGAAATTGGTATTTATAAAAATATATCTTTAGATTAAAAGAGAGTCCCTAAATATATATTTTTCCTTTCATTTTTGTTATATTTTTGTTGTAAATAATTTATTTGATATATCAGGGTCCACAATGGGGCATCACAAGCTTCGACAACTTTGGTCAGGCCATGCTCACTGTTTTTCAGTGTATAACTCTAGAAGGCTGGACCGATATGCTTTACTGGGTAAGAAGTTGAACAATTTCTAGAATTCAGATTGCTTCTTAGCTCGGATGAATTCTTGTTTAAATCAATGTCGTCACAGCTAAAAGATGATAAATGTATAATGTTTATGCATTCACACAATAAAAGGGGATCAGGTTAAAATATAACTGAATTATAAATATTCAATCAACAAATCAATTTTATGATATTTTTTTTGGTTTATGTGAATCCACTTCTCTGAAAATTCTGATTAGTCTGAAATTTGCAGTACAGTTTTTCTTACAAATTTTATTTCGGATTCCGATAATTTTTCTAAGCATATACCCTGAAAATATATCGGCTTTATCGTCTTTTTCCGAATTATGTATTAAATTTTGTAGTTGGACCACTATCAAAATTGAAACTGGGGTATTTTCCAGCAGACACTGTGATCTTGCCAGAGCTGGGAACTTTTGAATGATGGATATCGGGATTAATGCCTGATCCACTCTTTTTCTTAATCTCGAGATTAAATAACGCTTGTTCTCCTCTTGTTATTAATCTCCAGATTAATTAAAACAACAGGATTAAGGATATCTTATTCTAAAGTTCTCAGCTCAGGCCATTTGTTGCATAAAATCATGGGTCGACTCTATACAGGGTAGCCTGATCACAAATCATGCAACTTTTAGACTTAAGTGGGTGGGGTAATTATGACAGGTAAATTGCGGTAGATGGCGTTCCATCTTCAGATATTGACCCATGACGGATGAGAGAAAGTATTAAGTGTAAATTACTCAAAGACAAAACATGTCAACACAGAAGGAAAAGAAAACATTGTTTAGATTGCAGGAAACTCAACTAGAAAATCACTTCTTTGACAGCAAAAGTGTGATGACTACAATCTTTTTAATAATAAATTAATGGTTTGCGTAAATGATTGATCGATTCATTAATTAATTGATTGATTCGTTCATTAATAGATTTATTCGTTAATTGATTGATTGATTCGTTAATTGATTGATTGAATGATTGATTGATTGCTTTATTTATTGCTTGGTTGAGTCATTTATTAATTTATTCATTGAGGTGTTAATTGATATACATTAATTGATTGATTCATTCATTAAATGATTTATTGATTAATTAAATGATTTATTTATTATTAAATTGATTGATTTATTCTTAAATTGATTGATTTATTCATAAATTGATTGATTTATTCTTAAATTGATTAATTTATTCACAAATTAATTGATTTATTCTTAAATTGACTGATTTATTCTTAAATTGATTGATTTATTCATAAATTGATTGATTTATTCTTAAATTGATTGATTGATTTAATCAATATTTCTAGATTCATGACTCCCAAGGAAACACGTGGCAATTTATTTACTTTGTGTCAATGGTGGTGCTCGGGGCCTTCTTTGTTATGAACCTCATTCTTGGTGTTCTAAGCGGGTAAATAGAAAGCATTCAGTGGTCGGCGTTTATATCAATACAATGAAGACAACTTTTCTTTTTAAGTTTTGATTTTCAACAAGCTTTTTTCAAAATAATAAATTTACATAAAAAGGAGAGAGAACCGCATCTCTTTGTTTCCAAGTTTATGTTACGAATGCTGTTTGAAAGTTTTAATAAAAATCAAAATTTAAATCGAAAGCTGTTCTCATTGACGGCTGTACACTAATACCTACTGCACTGTTTACATTCCTCTCACAGAAACCATGTTAGACCATGCTACGTTTAACATTATATTGAAGTAACTGTAAAGGAAAATGACAGGGAATATAGGATAAAACCTGAGAATCTCAGACATATAAGACGATACATATAAGACATCTATCTGTTGTTCCTGTCTCGAAAAATTGACATAAAACTGTGTAAAAATTATACGAAAATTTTATGCAATTTTGTATAAAAGTTGTAGTATAAAACAGATCATATTCCACAAATACGAAGCCAATCTGAAAACGATTATATCCCACAGAATCACTGTATCACGTGACCAGTATACTGCAATCTCATTGGCGGAAGTTCTTGTGACGTAATACGGACATTTAAATAATATCATCAATTATATCTATTAAAAATGCAAATAAAAAAAACTTATAATGGAAGCAAACCTGAGATTCTCAGGTTTCTGTGGGATATAATCGTTATCAGATTGTTTCCATATTTGCTGAATATGATCTGTTGATACCTACTACTTTATAATTTTACTGTCCTATCTAGTTTATCTATAATATCTTTGATTCAACATCCCATCATGTATAATGTGTAATTTTACTGTCCTATCTAGTGTACAATAATATCTTTGATTCAACATCCCATCTTGTATAATGTGTAATTTTACTGTCCTATCTAGTTTATCCATAATATCTTTGATTCAACATCCCATCTTGTATAATGTGTAATTTTACTGTCCTATCTAGTTTATCCATAATATCTTTGATTCAACATCCCATCTTGTATAATGTGTAATTTTACTGTCCTATCTAGTTTATCCATAATATCTTTGATTCAACATCCCATCTTGTATAATGTGTAATTTTACTGTCCTATCTAGTTTATCCATAATATCTTTGATTCAACATCCCATCTTGTATAATGTGTAATTTTACTGTCCTATCTAGTTTATCCATAATATCTTTGATTTAACATCCCATCTTGTATAATGTGTAATTTTACTGTCCTATCCATAATATTTTTGATTCAACATCCCGTCTTGTATAATGTGTAATTTTACTGTCCTATCTAGTTTATCCTAATATCTTTGATTCTGATTCAACATCATATCTTGTATAATGTGTAATTTTACTGTCCCATCTAGTTTATCCTAATATCTTTGATTCAACATCATATCTTGCATAATGTGTAATTTTAATGTTCCATCTAGTGTATTTTAATATCTTAATTTCAATATTTTGTGTAATGTGTAATTTTACTGTCCTATCTAGTGTATTCTAATATTTCTGATTTAACATCACATCTTGTGTTTGTAATTTACAGTCCTATCTATTGTATCTGTTAACATCACATCTTGTGTTTGTAATTTACAGTCCTATCTATTGTATCTGTTAACATCACATCTTGTGTTTGTAATTTACCGTCCTATCTATTGTATCTGTTAACATTACATCTTGTGTTTGTAATTTACCGTCCTATCTATTGTATCTGTTAACATCACATCTAGTATCAAATTACACATGACATCACACCTAGCTATACTAGTATGCGTTGTATCTTTGTATAAACGTCATCAAGTACATAATAAAGTATGTAGGAGGAGGGGTCTCTAACTAATTTATAATAAAATATATATTTCTCCATTGCATTTGATTAGGCTCCAGCATTGAGCTTCTATTAATACTAATGTATTGTCTAGGCTACGCTTCCAGAATAAATATATTTAGACTAAGATCCTGCTGTACTGTACAGCTAATTATTATAAATATGTTTATTGTCTTGAAATAAAGACAATGGTACCAGTTAATGATTATTTTCAAAATGTTAAAAAATAATCAAATTGAGTTTTACCTATTTCTTGTAAATTTTTGCATAATTTTTTTTAACCCCCCTCCCTAATTGTCAAACATCAAA